GTGGCTGGCAAGCGAATCCCTGTAAATAAACCCTACCTAAACCCTAAACCCTAAACCCTAAACCATAAGCCCAAACCCTAAACCCTAAACCGTGGCTCAATACAGACCCAGGGGGCCTCTCGAACCTTGGGCTCAGGAGAAGTTAGAAATCTCTGGGCTGTCGGTTGGTGGTTTGGGGCTTGAGCCCTAAGACTTGGGAGTCGGGTTTAGGGCGTAAGGTTTAGGGTTTAGGGTTTAGGGTTTAGGGCGTAAGGTTTATATAAGGTTCGGGTTTTTTGGACTAGGCCTTGGGGTTAATGCAATGGCCGGAATAGTCAGAATAGGGCTTTGGGGTATATTATACTATAACTATAATGTGGAATCCCCCAAACCCTAAACCCTGAAACCCTAAAACCCTAAACCCTAAAACCCTAAAACCTTGATCCCTAAAACCCTAAACCCTAAACAGTAATGATTTGGGCCCCTACATTAGGGTTTAAGGTTTCAGGATTGGGGGCGAAGATTTCGGCCTTGAGACGTCAGGCTTGGAGGTTCGGGATTTCGCGCTCAGGGTTTTAGGGCTAAGGGTTTAGGGACTGAGGGTTTAGGGCTTTAAGGCTTTAGGGTTTAGAGTTTTAGGTTTGAGGGTTTAGGGTTTTGGGGTTTAGGGTTTGGCCAGATATAAATAGGTTGCGAAAGTCTGCTGGGGTTCGGGTGCCAAAGAAGCAGAGTCGACTGCTCTGCACACCCTAAAACCTCAAAACCTGAATCGAACACTACTAGACCCCGTGAAGCAACCCTCGCAGATCCCTGAAGGGAACACTGTATAAACCCCCAGCCTGTAAAACTCCCAAGCCACAGCTTCATGGCCTCAAGAGTTGAAATGAAACTGGTGGGGTCAAGTATCCTGAGAGGTTTGTCGAGACAGTTGGAGCGACAGCACACATCAGCGGATCTGCTTGTTTTCCTACTTGACAGCTTTGTCGGCGCTTGAGCCAGCGCGTTCGGTCAGCAGCTTGTCAGACGTCAGGTATCCTGGTCAAGAGTGCACACCTAATCCAACGGGATGGTTTTCACAGTACCCCCAAATAAGAGTTGACCAGAATGCCTGACCTGACTGTTCGTACTCCCGCAAAAGGCGGGCTGCAGAAGCACCGTGGCTTCTGGCTCGAAATCTGGAATCGCTGGCTCGATTGGCCAGCTCCTCACTCACGTCCACTAGGCTGAAGACTCCAGTCTTCAGCATCTGTTCCAGAGCACCGTTGGCTTTGAGCGGATCCGGCTTGGTCATGGCGTCCGCCAACATCTTCTGGTGGGGAACCCAGCGGACTGTAGACCGGGTCTCCTGCAGGTCCTTGACGATAATCGCCAGCTCAAGTGAGCTTCGGCGATCTTGCTTGCCCTGAGGGTGCTCCTTCAAGATACAGTCGTACAATGACTTGGCATCCGTGACGGCACATTGAGGTTGTCGAAGCCTCATTTCGCAATCGCTCCTCATCACCAACATGTGCGGGGAGAGGGAGTTGCGCCACTCCTTCAGCTTCACGTCGTGGGCTGTGGCGTCTCGGACCATAATTTGTATCCAGTCTATCTCGGAGATACCCTGTAGCATGGCCTGCGTCTCGCCACCAAAGGTGGAGAACACTTTGCGTTTCAGCTTGGAGCTGCGCCATGCTATGGGTGACGCACGCACTCGTCGGTTTCCGAGTGGGAGCTCCTCGGCAATCAAGACCACCCAGGCTCCCTGGGTGTGGTCCGTGGGCAGGCCCTCGTCGTCCACGACCTCATGCTTCACCCCCACGCCTCCCGCATCAGAGACAGCTATGAAGGCGCTGTCTCTTGGGTCCACCTTCCACAGGATGAGCGGTCGGGAGGCCGTCGTCCTGAGGTTAGTTGATATTCTTGTTAATGATGAGGATGTCGTCGATGGTGGCGGTCTTGAGCTTGCTTGCCATGATGCTCGCCAAGCCGCTCATCTCCGGCCTCGTCTCCTTCGCCACCCAGTTGATCTTATACACCGCGGACCGCATGGCTTGGAACTCCTCTTCCGTGAGTGAGGCTTCCTTCAGTGCCTTTCGGTGCTTGGCAAGGGGAATTGGGGTAATCTGCTCGAGGATGTACTTCTCCTGGTCCACGGTGATGCGATCCTCGTGGCAGCAGACTTTCCTGCCTGCATAGTCGGCGGTTCCTTCCTCCCATTTCCCAAACACGAAGCGGGAGTGTAGAAGTTCCTTGATCTCTTTCTGGATGGAGGGCTGGGCGCTGACGATGAAGTCGTCGACTTCGATGAGGATCTGGGCCACGTTGTTGCCTGCCTGGTCGAACTTCATATACCAGCAGGGCTCGACGATGTTCCGGACGAAGTTCTGCTCCACTAGGTAGGACACGACGGTGCTCCTCCAGGCAGCCGGAGCGTCGTCCAGACCATACACCGGGACGTCTATAATGATCAAGGCATCCGGTGGCAGTCCCAGCCCGTCAGTGGGCTGTGCAAACAACGGTCCTCTTGGTCGCCGAAGAGGGTTGCTCTGACAGAAGGCATTCTTGACGTCGCAGAAGGAAAAGGAATGCCCCAAGCCCAGCCCGGTGTGCAGGAAAGCCATCATCCCCTCCGTGGAGGGTGTAGGGGCAAAGGTGGTCAGGTGTTCGGTGTCGGGATCTGAGTGACCGGCTATGCACCACCTGGATTTAGCCTTCCACTGATGCATACCCGGGAGAGGTTTCTTCCTCCTGACCATGCGGGACGCCAGGATGCGCTCCGGGTAGAGCTTCTGCGCCTCCTTCCCGTAGACGACTCGCACCGCCTTGGTCTTCAAGATGGCGTCCCACTCGATCTTGTCGCTGGCGTGGAACTTCTCCTGCTCCTCCTGGGACAGCTTCTTGACATTCACCTCGTCACTTCGGCTTGCCACTAGGTTCCATCCGGTTTCTCCCCGGTAGCAATACCATGTGGAGCCGTCCACCTCGGCGGCGTGACCCCGAGCTCCTTCGGGTGTCCGCGAGCGGCTTCGAGATTCATCTCGCTGCTTCTCGCTGTCCTGTTGGCGTCTTCCTCTCTGAACTGCTTGTAGTAGTCGACGGATGGGGGTGCCGGGTGCCCGCGAGGTGTTCTCGGAGCTCTCGGTGGACTCGAGTCGCGGCACCTTTGGTGGCCGCTCCTGGGCGACTTCTCCTCTGGGAGTTAGTCCTGGCAGCTCGCCGGAACCGGAAGGTGCCCTGCCGTCTCCTGTAGCCTCTGGCTCCTGAGCTGGCTCCTGGATAGAGGATCTCCTCGATTCCACGACATTGGGAAGTGGTTGCTGAAGTTCTGGCCTCAATGTCGCGTCCTCGTGTATGGTCTCGAGGTGCCTCTCCAGGCCAGGTGGTACCTCTACCGGGTGTCGAGGTGCTTGTGGTGGTTCAAGTGGCGCCGGACTTGTCGAAGAGGTTGCCTCGCTGATGGCTGAACCGCCCATTACCTCGGAGCCACGATCCACGGGGGCGAACTGCTCCTCGTTGTTCGGCGGGAGCTCCTTGGTGACATCCACGGCACCGGCATGGCGTCCGGAAACTACCTGCCTCAGCAGGTCACTGAGCTCTGGGTCGGAGGCCAGCTGACGGCCCAAGACCTCGGAAGGGAAAGCCGGCCGAAGCTGTTCTGGGGAGCATCTCCACAGTCTCGTCCTCATAGCCACCCAGACCACGGAGGGAGTTTGCATTACCACGATGCCCGGACCCACCCATCGGGAGGTAGGATGGAGTGCGTCGCCCGACTTGCCCCGCCTGAAGCAGAAGACCCACTGTCCTGGCACCCAGTTGCGGCATGGATGCGTTGTAGTCCTCGCAGCTCGTTTGATGGTCTCACGGCTTGCCTCTTCCATGGCCAGCTGGCGACCTCTTTCTCGTATTTCGTGTCGCTTCTTGTATTCTGTGGCCGCTTCGTCCATCCCAGCAGGATCGTGGAAAGCGTCGCTGAGAACCTGAAGGCTGGCGTCCTCGGAGGAAAGGAGTTCGCCCGGCACCCGGGGAAGTTCCCCGAATACTAGTTGCGTAGGTGTGTAGCCACCGTGATTATACCACCTATTTTTGGCGGCCACCAGGGAAGAAAGTAGTTCATCGAGATCTTCCTTGGTGGTGACCACTCCACGCCCGGAATCTAGTTCCTGGACCAATTTCTGTTTTAACCAGCCCCCGTGACGTTCAGCTCGGGAGTTTTGCCACGGAGATTCCGGGGCCGTCACATGGTGAAGTACTCCAAGCTGCTCAAGCCCTCGCTCGAATCTTCCTTGGAATTCCTTGCCTCCGTCCGTGATGATAAGGCTGGGGGCTCCCAGATATCTCACCCACGTGTTGAGCAGCGCCCTCCAGGTTGCCTGCGCCGAAGGGGCTCCCGAAGTAGACTCGATCCTCTGGGCCAGCTGGTAGTTGGTGCCATGGCACACGACATTCAACACGGGCTCCAAGGAGTCGCGGAAGGGCACGTAGAAGACGTCCATGCTCAGGACTTTATTAAAGGTAAAAATTCTCGGGCATTGAGCTTTCCTCCTGGGATCTGGCCCCCGCTTCACCTGGCATGTCTCGCAGACAAATTTGTCCCGCACGTATTTGAGAACGTGCGGAAGCGCTCCGGCTGCTTTGAGGGTTCGAAGGAACCGATCCTCCGGGGGGTGGCCTGTGTTAATATGCAGTTTCTTGATCAAGTCTCGCTGCTGCTGCGAAACCTGAGGCTCCTGCTCGAGAGGCGCATTGCGGACCACGGGTTCGTACTCGGCGGCCCCGAGGCCCTCGACGTCCGCCTCAGTCTCGTCCATCGTCGTGCTGGGGAAGCTCCACACAGCACGAGGTGCCCCGGAAGTCTGCTTCCAGACCTGGTCTATTAGCTCATTGGTGGCCTCTGCGGCGAACGTGCTCGCCCTGTGGCCGTCGCCCTTGGCCTCGAACCCGAAGTCGCGTAGCAGCGACTCCTGCTCGGGGGTCAGATGTGCAGCGGATCTAGTGGTGAATGCGGTGATGGCCCACCTCTCGCCCTCCCACGGCTCAACAGAGTGTAGCACTCGGCCGCGATGCTTTCTGAGAACCCCGGGCACCTTGACGCCGTTGACCTCCTTGCAAACCTGTCCTTGCGGATGTTCTTGCCATAGCTCGCCGCCCTTGAACTGGCCGAGGGCGATGCTGTGGTTCTGACCGATGTTGTTCATGTCCCTGTGAGGCTTAACCTGAGCGTTCCGGGAGACCACGATGGAGGATCGGGTACCGAGGGCGCCGTGGCGTGTGAGGAAGTAGTTGAGATAACGAATAGTGTTGGGCAGGCGGTAGGTTGCCAGTGTCAGCCCCGCAAACTTGCCGTAGGAGTACTGGCCCAGCACCTGATAGTTCGCTGATCCATCCATGCTGCGCCTGCGAACCCGCTGGCGCGGCCACTTTGTCTCCCTCAATAGCTTCAGGCACGCAGCCTGAGAGTAGTCTGCTTGTTGAAGAAGCTGTGCAGCCAGTCTCTCTCCGGGATCGGACTCCACTGTGCTGGCCGAAACACTTGTCGTGGCTGTCGGCGCCTGGCCGTCCTCGTAGTTCGTCTCCAACCGGAGGCCTCCGACCGGGGTGTCCATGTTGGTGGCCACGATGTAGTCGCCATCCTTCGAGACGCGGACCCTTCCGGCAGGAGACCTTGCCATCTCCAGCCACTTGACCTGAGTCCATAGCGAGGAGTCGGCTGGCGCTCTTACGAAGAAGGAGCGGCCTTGCTCGAGCTGTAGGGCCGCTATCTCCAAGGCCATGTTGTCGTTCACGCCCGCCTCCACACGTTCACGGGGCGATCCAGTGGGCTGATTCTCGGAACTCCATCGCATGGCCACCACGCCAGGTCGCCGATGCTCCATGAAGTGACGAAGACGTCGACGGTGCAGCTTGTCGGCTGCGCTCCAGCCAGCCGCGTACGTGAAGTTCTCGTGGCTCGCCGGCACTCGTAGTCCTCGACTTTGAGCCCGGTCGGTAGCAGCCGTGTCATTGAAGACCTCGACGAAGTCCACCTGAGAGCCGGTGGCCTCGCGGTGCTGGTTCCGCGCCAGCTCGACCAGGCCCCCTTCGGCCCGCCTGAGCTCCTCCAGGTTGACGTAGGAGTCGACGTCGTTGGGGAGGATCTCGTCGTGGAGCCGCAGTGCTCGAATCATCCAAAACGGCCCGTCCTCGGACGGCTGCCCTTTTCCATTGATACCCACGATCGGAGCCAAAGGGTCGCGCAAGGTGTGTACCAGCCACATGTGTCGAGGACAGCACCATCTTCGTACCTGTAGTTCGCCTTGCTGCAGAGCGCCCACACGCGAATCTCCTGGGCCTTGCTCCTGACATGTGCCGTCGGGTCGTCGGACTTCATGCCATAGCACCACTTGTCCACGTCGAGGTTCATCCAGCGTACTCGTGGTCCACGGGAGCCTCGTCCAGGAGGGAGCTGTGAAGGTAGAGGCCTCTGTTGAGCTTGCCCGGGGAGCCTCTGATCCGAAGTTGCCCTCGTAGTGCACCATCCATGTCGCCTGATCGCCCCCGGCCTGACCCACAAGATGCTGCAGAGGCTCGGACATCTGATTCCATGACATGGCTGAGGACGACAGGGACAAGAGCGACACCGTCATCCAGCCAGCTCCTGGGCCTCTCGCACGGTCAGGTGCCTCATGTCCTGCTCGGCGTTTCTCTGCATCATCATGAGCATCTGCCCTTGTCCTCGAGTCAGCTCCCGGAGCGCCTCCCCGACGTTCTGGAACGAGGTGGCCATGGCCTGCAGGGTCGCGTTGAGCTCCGGGTGGATCGTGTCGTTGGGCACTTCGCTGCTCGATCGCGCTCCGGAGGCCGTCATCCTCGCCGCTGGCCTGAACGCTCCTGCTGTCCTGTCCACCATGTCCGGACTGATCACTGCGTGAGGGGCCACCGTGCTCCGGGCGCGGGCCTTGCTCTTGGCAGTCGGGTTCCGCTTGGAAACATACGTCTGCCTGGCATTGCACTTCGGGCAAACTGTCCATGTTGCGTACTGGTTCGCCCTTGCGATGTGCGGCTGAGGGTGTAGACACTTGGCCGGTGCCTGGGCGTCGTCCACCAGGTACTTCCTGCGCTCGGAGAAGATGCTCTTGTCGTTGTTCTCCCTCTGGGCCAAGTGGAAGTATCGAGTCCGGAGCGCTTCGAAGAGGTACAGCATCCGGACAATCATCTGCCGCCACCGGTTGGCGAACACACATTGACGCCGCCCGTCGCCTCCCCCGAGGGAGGGGGTTGTTCCATGTTGAAGACGACGGGGACACAAATCGAATTGGGGTCGGCGGATTGCCGTCACATTACCCATCTGGGCAATTGAGCCTGAAGATTCAGCAAACGTTCTCTTCCCAGCAACTTCCGTGTCGGGCATGTCATGCTCTGAACTGCTTGCAGACGCTTCAGCACTGTGTTGACATGCACCTTCCAGTTGAAAGCGAACTCGACGGGAATGAGCAGATGACCTCTCTCTCTCCTCTCTCCGATCAGGTAGTGTACGACAAAGTGCGGGTACTTGCATGGTATTGGGCTCATCAAGTGGAGAGATTAGATTACGAAGATGACTTCCTGAGGGTACTTCGTGAGGAGCAGCGTTGCTTTCCTTTATATACGTGGAGAGGGCCGCACCATCCTTCATGAAAGCGTCATCGGCAAGGCCATACTGCGCCTTGGCAGTTTGCGGCACTGGAAACCTGCCGCCAGGCCACTGCACAAGTGGCAGCGCCCGATGTCCGGATGGGAGATTGACCATCTTGGCATCCACCCCTATGTTCCGGAAGTGGATGCGATTGCTAACCAAATCCAGCTGGGTGCCTAAGTGCTCCATGAGTCCTACGGACAGCAGAGGCGGGATGTTGCCCTCGATGGCCGCAAACTGCACGACCCCGGGAATGCCGCCGGGTGAAGTTGGAACTAGGACCGTGCGGACGATCTTGGCAGATCCTCCTATGCCGGAGGGCGCCGTACCTGTGGTTGGTACATCGATGACTCGAAGCCCGCTTCGCCCCAACTCTTCTTCGAGAGACTTCAGAGCGACTGTTCCTATCAGATCCTGTGTTGCTCCAGTATCGAGTATACCCATGCCAGCAGGCAGCGACAAGAAGCTCCAGGCCCGCTCTCGATCGGCCAGCACCAGTGGCTCCCCGAGGAGGACGGCGAAGCTCGAGTTCTCGCCTGAGAAGAACGAAGTTCCCACGAAGAAGTCGCTGCTGTCGTGGTCTCTGTTGCTGCTGGCGCCTTGCAGGGATCCGCCAAGGTAGCAGAACCCCTGCACCTTGTGACCGTCTCCTCGGTCCGCACGTTCAGAGCTCTTGCCAACGGGGCACTCGTCCTTCCAGTGGCCGCGACGCCCGCAGTTGTGGCACCTGGACAGCTTTCGCAACTGGTCCTTCGGGAGCGAAGGTCGGGCTCCCGGCGATCGACCCTCAGCAGGATGGCCTTTCGTGAAGCTGGAGCGGTCCTTGCGAAGCTCGGCCTTGAACTTCTTGTTTTCTCGCCACGTTCTGCGCCGCCGTGGCATGCGGTTCTCCATGATCGCGAAGACCAACGCCGCCTGGTCGTCCGTGAAGTCCAAGCCGGTGAGCTCGGACAGGATGTTCTCGTCCTGCGCGATCTCCTCCCGCGTAGCCTCGCCCTCGTCCATCGAGTCCAGCTCCTCGCCTGCTAAGTAGCTTTCCGAGGGCCACGGGCCGGGACCCTCCTCGGAGAAGGCGGTGAGGCGATCGGACCTCACGTCCATCCGGGCCAGCGTCGCAGCCACGTGGTCGGCCGAGTTGTCGTGACCCTGCAAGAGAGCCATGAGGTTCTGAAGACCTTGGTCTGTCAATCCCGCTCCCTCCTTAAGCATGGAAGCTTTGAACTCCTCCGGAATCGCTATGCCGAAGAGGGCGGCCTTCGTGAAGTCCCGGGTCCTGCGGGTGACATACTGTGAGAGGGTCTCGTCTCGTCGTCGGCTGTTCTCAAGCATCACGCCCCTGAAGGCAGATCTCTCCTCGTCACCAGCTCGCACGCCTGCCTTCAGCTCGATGATGCCGATGATGGCCTCCAGGTAGCGCTCGCTGGCCAGGAGCTCCTCCGGGAGGTGCTCAAACTCAACCTGCAGCTCCCAGCCCAGCGTGCGCAGCACTTTCTCGGCCCTTCGATTCATGGGAAGGTCAGACAACTTGTGCCACCTCCTCTCCTTTCCATCCTGACGACGGTGGGGTAGACGACGTCCATGGCCATGAAGTCGCTCCCATCGGTGGTGCTCCATGCCATTCCGGGGGACGTAGTCCTGGGTGAGGGCTCGGAGGCGCTGCCGTCGAGCGCTGTCCAGCCTGGCACGGCATCCCGTAGAGTGGGCCTCCCGGCTCCTGTCTGGGAGGACTCCATGGCATGCCCAGCGTCCCGGGGCTCCATCCTCGAGGCTGCCAGGCCAAAGGGCATGAGCCACGCGCTGCTGTTCCCGAAGTCTCGCCAGCTGGTGGAACGGGTAGTACTCCTGTCCTGAGGGTGGCATCGGAAATCCCATTGAAGAGGCAGCTGCCGGGCCCATCCCTAGAGGCCCCAATGAGGTAAACGAGGTTGCTCCCAAGGTGCCTGCACCAGACCACTGATGCGGGACCGGTCCTAGAGGAGTCTGCGGGGATAAACCCGGAGGCTGATGAGGTCGCGCTCCGGCGTCGCTGACCGGCGCCGGTGGTGCAGTGTGTCCTTCAACTCCCGGTAGTGCGTCTCGTCCCGAAGTCGTAGCCTGCACCAGCTGCCGTGCCGCTTGGATCCATGGGTCGCCTGCGCCTTGTAGAGGATCTCCACCAGGTTCTCCCGGAGGACTCCTCGACGAGGTAGCGCTTAATCGCGTAGTAGGAGGCGAGGCCGCAGTAGTCTGGCCCATGGAACTCGCTGCTGCCGCCGAATCTTGCTGCGGTCCTGCGGAGCTCTGCTCCGCCTCCCAAGCTGGAAAAGCTTGCGGGTCGGCACTCCCCTGCCACCCGCCGTAACCCCATGATTGGCTTGGCCAGGGAGAGGTAGTCATTGCTGAAGTCGGAGGAGCCCAGTGATCATCCCTGGGTCCCATAACATTCCCTGAAGCATGTCTGTGCCAATCAACCCAGTCTTGAGGTGCGCCTGACTGAGCTTGCCAGTAGCGGTAGAGTTCGTTGACGGTAGCCATCGCTCGAACCTAAGTCTCGGCGATCAAAACGAGCAAGGCCTCACGGACCAAGCTCCGCTACCAACTGTCGAGACAGTTGGAGCGACAGCACACATCAGCGGATCTGCTTGTTTTCCTACTTGACAGCTTTGTCGGCGCTTGAGCCAGCGCGTTCGGTCAGCAGCTTGTCAGACGTCAGGTATCCTGGTCAAGAGTGCACACCTAATCCAACGGGATGGTTTTCACAGGTTTGAACTATATACGGTACATTATAGAAAGATTGCAATATGGATTCAAAAATAAGCTGTCTTTCTGCATTAATTCAAAAAGAAGTAGACAACCTTATATAAGGACTCTTCTCTGGGATTCTCCTACCTACCTTTATCCCACCCTTGGAGCCCTTTGAATTTAGGGTTTAGGGTTTAGGGTTTAGGGTTGAGGGTTTAGGGTTGTTTAGGGTTTAGGGTTTAGGGTTTAGGGTTCAGGGTTTAGGGTTTAGGGTTAAGCCCAACCCTAAACCCTAAACCCTTGAATAACAGCCTTGGCGACAGCCGACGCCCGAAGCGGCTCTATGAGATTCTGGATCTCAACAGTCGCTCCCTGCGTTTTAAGACCGCGCCGGGTTTCTTCAGGGTTTTCGGGTTTGGGTCTAGGGCTTAGCCTTTCGGGTTTGGGCTAGGGATTTTCAGGCTTGGGGTTGGTGGTTTTTCTGTCAAAAGTTTGGGGCTTAGGGCGTTGGAAACGACTGATGTTTGGGGTTTAGGTTCGATTTTCCTCATGAACCCTGGCTCTTTGCCTAGGGTTCCTTTCAAGGGTCCTTTAAGGGTTTAGGGCTTAAGGGGTTTTTGTATGAGGGCTGAATAATTATGATATATAGCCGCCTCAATAAGAGGAATAGGGTGGTGGGATATAATCTCGTACAATGATCATCACGAGCCGCAAAAAAACATCTATTACCAGTTCTTCCGGTTGTTAGCAGTTAAGGGCTCTATGGTTCAGGCTGTTAGGTTTCTGGTTTAGGGCAC